AAGCTTGGGTATATCTATATAGAGGTATATATATGAAACAGATGATCTTCCATTTATCTCTGACCTACCCCAATTCTATATCACCTGGGGCGAGCCGTGCACGAACAGCGGCGACGATTAACGGTGCGTTATATTTAGAGTACGATTCGCGCACTCGCACGCACACTCATATCAGACGCATATTCGTATTGCGCGAGTTTCGTACCAAGAGAGAGTGAAAAAGAGGGTACAGCAAAAAGACAAAATAAAATAAATCCGTACGCGTGGAACATCGACCTTCATAACTCAAAAGGTACGCGCTGACTTTGACAAATGACTTATATACGAGAGAATGAATTTGCGAATGTCGCGGGGCCTCTTTGTATCTGTGCACGCGCCTATATTATATATAAAACAATCATAAGTGCTACGAGCATCTGAAAAAGTTTTTCGATTACAATTTTCAATTCGACGCGTGCGTGCAAGTCTCTGCGAACGATCTTTTGCTTTTCGTATTTGCGCGCCGTGGCGTAGGATCTGCACAATTGCGTGCGTGCACTTCTCTCTCTTTCTGTTACGACCAACTGCTTTATTTATTATCGAAGGGATTTACAGGCTTGATCGATTTATCGTTTCAATTTGTAGAGTGAACGAGCGAGTGTATGTATAGTACGTGATCGTTGTCGACTTGACGTGTTATCTAAATAAATTTTCGATTTTTTTTGAGCGTCAGATGTGTCAATCGGAGTTTTGTATCAAATATACATCGATTACATTCGATGCGCATACTATTGCCTGCATGAGTAATTAAATTAACTCATGAATAAAGTAAGTCAAGCTGAGTTGCTCCAAAGATTTCACACGGAGAAACTAATATAAAAATCTGAAATTAATCGAATGAAAAATGAAAAAGTCGTGATATTTTCTCATTGTGAAGGATAATATTCAAATCATAACATATACATTTAAAAACGTGATTTTATTAAGTATATTATTGAATAAGAAAAGATTTGACTCGATCAAGTAATATTACTATTTATAAATTTAAATTACTACAATATTGGATAGTAAATTCACCACAGAAATTTTTGCTGTTCTAAAGAGCGAAAATAACCAAATTCTTTAGTCGTCATTTTTAATATGATTTAACAGATATTTAACAGATTATAGTAATTTTTTCTATAAATGCCAATAATAGCTGGTGGACTGACGTGCGTTCTTAAGCCAAATCAAGATCTCACGCAAAAACGTTTACGTGCAGTTGTGCTTTTATTGTTTTTTTTGTGCCAAGCAGTTGGTTGCAAAATAAAAAAGTACTGGAAGATGAAATTCGAAACCTGCAATGCTTCAAACTTGAGAATTCGAGCACGAGTGTAAAATGAAAGAATAAAAGGTTGTTTTTATATTAAGTCTGCGATTATTTATGTAGCGCAACGCAAAAATACAATTTTATTTTCAACTGTCATTATTGTTTTTAAAATAGGCCATTCGCATTGAAAATAGTTTATTTGAACAATTCTCAATAATAGTAATGGTTTCTTGCAGACGTCAACAGATTATATCATTTTATTCGTAGACCTGCCAGGAAGGATTCTTAGGCAAAAACTGCTAAGCGCAGAGTATAATATATACACAGAATATAGAGTCTTGTCAAGTGAAACATGGTAGAAAAGATAAACTCGGGTGGGTATCCGTGTGAGAAGGCAAAATAACGTTGTGTTGGGAAATGTTCATGCGGCTCGAAAGATAGGAATGACAAAGATGAGAGTCTATTGAGATGGAAGCCTGGACTATCCACAGAACGCAGTGACAAATATTCGTTTTGACATTTGACTTTGAATGGGTAAGGAAGCCCAATACTACAAGTATAAACCATTAATGATAAGACTAATGGGCAGTTAAATCGATTAGAAAGATGAGCGCAAATAATTTTTGCTTTTTTTAATTTAACAATGCTCAGTGCTAACGATTAGAAGTGATTCATCTGAATAAAAAGAACGAACCATATCCCCATTCCTGAATGATAAATATCAGGAATTTTCAATTTACGCCATGTTTAAAATGAGGATTTTTTTCAAATCGAAATAAAAAAAAATACAGAAAAATTCAAAAAAATGTTATTTCAAATTTCAATAATTTTGGAAAAATGGAAATACATTTTCGTATACTTTTTTAATGATCCCTTATATTTATCATTCCAAAATGTGAATATGGATATTCGGAAACTTTAACTTCAACAAAGATATCCAGAATCAAAATATTTTACTCGTCAAATTTCTGCAAGAAAACATAATCATTAAATTTATCGCAAATTTACCTCATTTGACTGGAAAATGCAAACTAATTTTCAGCGAGGCATAAACCATGCATACTTGAGAGCCGCGCATGCAGGTGTGAAATATTTCTCATACTTTACTTTTCCCAGCTGCTGGAATAAGCGCTAGGATAAACACTTGACATTTTTTAAAGCTTAAAGGAAATATTAGTTTTTACTTTGGATCAGAATAGTAATAGCCTAACATTCTGCAGAGTAACAAAAAAAGTATGAGGCGTCTAAGTGATGTTCAAGATAGTAATATTGATAAGGTATACAACCTTTTAAGGTTTTTTCAGCGCTCGGCGAAAATCGTGAAACATTGATTTCCACGTTTTTACAAAAATCTATGTTGACTCATATTCATCGTATCAAGCCCACGTTGATACCGTTATGAAATTTCAATACAATAAACGCAAAAAACCATTCATAGGCTTGCTGCTCAAGACTCTCAATGGATATCAACATGCAAAGCGCGAGTAAGCGTACATTCACAAGATTGAGTCTTATCAAAGTCAAAAAGCTCGTTTCAGCTAACTAGTCACTAGTTGTAATAAAAGTCCTGTTAACAACGGGATATAGAAATTTTGCAAAGATAGTCGAGACCGCCAACCGCGAGCTACAATAGAACAATCGGCATTGCATTGGTATCTGACAATAAAGTCATAATCACGCTTTTTATTAGCTCTGCCATCGTACATGATTTTCTATTGCAATTGACTTGTCTTGTAAGTAAGTACATAACTATTCACACCGAGCGTGTACGGGAAAATAATTCAGTTCATAAGTGCAAAACGCCGTATACGAAGTGTTTATCTTCGCGCGCACGTGGGCAGATCGATGAACTCGTAAAGTCAAGAAACTCCCCGGATTGTAGCTTCGCGAGTCGTTTCGCTTACATGTAGGCGCACTACAAAATCCGCAAGATACTAGTTGTTGCGCAATCATTACAATTCGTATATATTCGAATGTATTCGCGCTCATCCTGTTTTATACTTAGCTTCACAAACAGCAGAGAGTAATAAAATTAACAAGATGAACTCTCGTCGCTGCAGTCTTTGCTTATCGCATAGTTGAGCTTAGTTCACTCAATCGAGTCGGTATCTTCTAGACGCGCGCACACACGCACACATACATACACATTTACGATGTATGCGCGCGCTTACGAGCAAGATCTTGGAGCCGATGCATTGCGTATTAATATTTTCCCTTGCCGCCGGTACAGAGAAATCTACGATCGACAGATGCGAGATATTTTATGAATAATATGCCCCGAGTCCTGGTAGTTTTCGAATCCTGTTGTTGATTGAGTACGCGACATCAACGATCACGAGTGGAGCAAAACTACCCGATCCCGAATGCAACGGCTGCAGCGGCGAAGAACAGGTTTTTCGCAATTGATTTATTGTACGGTTCGCAATTTAGTCTAAGCTGACAAATCCCTCACTACGTAACGACATTAAGTATAATATTGCCACTGCTTCGTTACGCGTGAGTCTCGAATGCATTACTTACTAAGAGAATGAACTTTTAAAGTTTTACTCACATGTAGATTTTAAATCGATTGGTTCGTCTTGTCATTTCAAATAACATTTACATTGAGCCATGTCAAGTGTGTGTACACGTAAAAGAGAGCGAGAAAATGAAAAAACGCTTCAAGCATGAAATCAGATGAATCTAAATTATATTTATTTTTGAAATACCAACTTGAGAGATTTTCGCAGCTACCAGGCATGAGTAATAAGAAAAAAACAATGTAAACCAGGTGCGGGTTTATGCGTATATTAATACACACATTTTCTCGGGTCGATTAACACGCAAATGAACACGAAGCCATAAAAAATATTAATATTCTGCTGCGATCGGCTCCTCTTCTTTGACGGATAGGTGAAAAATTAAAAATTTCAAGACGTGGATATAAACCACAAGAGTCGTGGTAAAGGTAAATCTCGAAGTGACATCGCACGCATTGAATCCAATTTGTTATTATGGGTTCAGTTATGTATACGTGTGTAATTTTATAGGATTCGAATCTCGAGAATCTTGCACTGAAAAGTCATAGATTCATGTATTTTATTTTAATTTATCATATCGCGATACTTGTGTTTGGTTACGCTTAATTCTGCATATAACTTACGTCAGGGTCAAATTAAAATTTTCAATGCAGCAATTAAATTCCTGATCATAAAACGCCAATAGATAAGCAACTTGCATCACAAATTCAGATTAATTAAAAGTAAAATTTATTTAAAGAAGTTCAAAATTAAGTTCGGAATAATATATGCGATGTTCATTTACTTGAGTCTAATTTTATAATTTTGTCTTTTTGGAATCTTAATAAAAAATATGAGCTTTTATTAAGATAAGCCAGTCAGTTACGCTTGCACGTTTTCTACTTTTGAATCATAAGATGCATAAAACAAGGATTCGCGACGCTGCCAGATGTTTTTAAACTCCCGAGACGACAAAATACTGGTGAATAAATTCAAATGTACTTGAAACATTTCAGTGGCAAATGCTGACTTATTTGTCGCTTTTAATGTAATCGCGGTGAAAAATAAAAAAATGAAACGAGGATACTCGCGTATAAGTCGCAGAAAATGGAAATTTTATTCACGCGTTTATTTATCATTACAAGATATAATTAACCTTAAAAAAATATAAGAAATGCTTATTAAAGTTTATTCGACCAAGTGCGTGTACTTACGTTAACTTTTGAAAGGTACATCTCAAGCTCCTGAAAAGGGTCCACGTCCTTTTGAGGCTCTTGACTCGCTGCAGTGTCGCGCGCATCGCCATTTTCCACGATTCTCAAGGGATTCAACAAGGACATCATTATACGCCCATTGTTTGGATCATTGATCCGCTGGGTCGATATTGGGCCATTACTGTTTTGAATGGCCTCCATGATGATGACGCATTAAACGTTGACCTTTTGCATAATGCTTTGATCGTCTGCAACGTTAAAAAATGGTACTTTTATAGTAAAATATCTATCCATTGTTTCATATCTGAACGATCATTTGTATCGGTAAGGGGTAATTATTATAATTTGGCGTGGATTTTTCAGGGAAAGAGGCATTTCTCAAAAAGTGCATTTACGCCCGAGCAGGCAGGCATTAAAAAGCGAAAGTACACACGCAGACACGCGTGTACTTTCAATAACTACACGAGTGCAGAGCGCGTAATGCTAATGTGCCTACTACTGCTAGCGCGCCGCCTGCATTTTAGTTTCCACTCTCACTCTTTGATCTCGGTCTCGTCATGCGGTTTCTGCATTGGCGCGTTAATTTATGCTGCTGCTACTGCCCGCGTACGCAAGACAAGAAGGGACGCAAAAGGGAGTATATGGGAGACAGGTTATAATTAACGCCGACGCATTTATGTAGTACCTTTTCTCGAAAGACCGAACAAGTAGCAACGCTAAGCTAAAACTCGAATTCTGCCCGAGTTGTTTGGACGCTTTAGGTAGAATGTTAAAAAACACAGGTTTTTCAGTTATTTTTAGATTGAAAAATAAGTTACATTGTCGCAAGTATGGAGGCTTGACACAGTTTTCATGGAGTAGCAAATTCGCTGCAGAATGTATTTCGTGAAAGTAAATTGATAAATTGGACGAAAATAGTTAATTTTTTAGATTTTTGATTTTGAATATTATGTAAGACTTTTAGATAATTTTAAAAACTTCACCATTAAGTCTTTTTTCGTAGATGAAAAGAAGACAAATTATAAGAATCTTATTATATACCCCAACAGAAACTACTAACAACAACACAATTTAAAGTTGAAAATCAACGTTAGGTATTCGCATAAATTTTGTCAAGAATGGTCCAAACGTTTAAGCCCATGAACTAATAAATTATTTACCTTGAGACCTTGAAGAAAAAATTTTTCGCTCCAAAGAAGGGAAAAGTTCTAAATTTTCCGGGTAACGAGCGACGTTAAAGAATGAAAATTTCTTGCTCGGCCGTAATATTCTTAGCCTTGTAAATTTTACCCGCACACGCGCACCACTGCAGGCGTACCACGAGTAGCTCTACGGCACATCGATTCTCAGACGCGTGCATTCAGCGCTCGACGTATTTATGAAACATTTGGCGTTATCTACAAATTCTTCCGTTGCTGCTGCACCTTGGACGCAAAGGACACACGGAGGCTAGTGAAATTTCACGCCTGAGTTATGTAAGCGACGATTGACAGGCTCGTACACACGAGATAACTGCTGTTGTATTGGCAAGGCTCGTGCGCACAATCCAGCCTCGCACATTCTCCATACATATAAGTGGTATAGTATGCATAATATGTGTAAGGGTACTGGCAGCAGCAGCAAAAGCAGCAACCAACAAGCCGGTTCGTGCGTAAAGAGTGTAAAAGAAATTTCAACATAAGTTACGGCTTTTTTTCGCCCAGAGAAGCAAAATAGTCGAGAGTTTTTGGAACATAAGTGAATAGTTAGCGAATTAGACGTCTACTTATTCTTTATCGAATGTTTGCATGACACATTATCTCCTAATCTGAGCAAGCTAACTAATTGATACATATGTGCGATGTATTTAAAATACATACCAATTCGAAAGAATTTAAAGATCTTATGCATTTTGTAAGAAATTTCTTAGAAATAAATGTGTAAACAGATATTTAATCAATCATGACCAATATTTGTTACCAAAGCTAACGTTACAATTACATAATTTCAGATTGCAGATATTTGCATTTTTATTGAGAAGAATCTAAGCAGATATGAAATTTAGACGAAATGTCTTTTATAGATTTAGTCATAAAAAATGTATTGAATTCAACAAAAAATAAATTGTATAAAATTTTTTTAACATACATAAAAACACACGCAATATATATAAGTGCTTCGTTTGACTATCCTTGTAGACCTCGTCATTCGATTCTCCTTTTCCATCAAAATAATCATTTAATTATATAAATAACGATAATCGGTCAACACAGATTTGCAACATGTCAATTTTGAGTGTAAGATCGGCGCCATCGATATCAGCATACGCTAAGAGGCATAATCCCTCGTGCTGGACACACGTGTACTTTATATATGCTGCAAATTGCATGAAAGATAAGATCGTACGCCATGACTGAGATACTTTTGTTTGATTTTGTTTTTCATATTGTGCTCATTGCTTGATCTTCTTTGGCGCCTTTTTTTTGCATAAAGCAAGGGATAAAGAGTACATACGTGCGCAAGCGTGAGCTTAAGCATTTCTTCTATACTGCAACATGCTAAGTGCATTATTGACAACTAAGAAACTTGACCCATGAGCTGACAGCAGTGCTAAATTATAAAAAATATTGGATTTTCCATTCTTTATTGGGTTGAACCTGGCTTTTACCTTCTCTTAGATGTTTTACATTTTTTAGAATATTAAAACAAAGGAAGTATTTGAATAAATTCACTTAAAACGATTATGTACTAAGAAGTAACCACTAATATGGTATCTTTAGCAATCATTTACAAGCTTTTACTCTGATAGTATTACTGTAAAGAATAGATTTGAAACATAGTAATGAAGCTCATCACTTGGGCGAACTCTCTTTCTCTTTATCGTTCAAGAGCGCATACGCAATGACCGCAATTAACCTTACGTAACTTGGTCCCCTTATTTCTTTTCTTATTTTTTTTTCTTTCTGTTGCAGAATATATTATATGCAAACATGTAGGAAGACCTCATGTGGCTCTTACATATGCTGCATTTATTTACCACAAGAAGCGAACGATATGTGTACTACAATGCTGAAATGCTCTTTTATACGCTACATCCGTTCAATCGACAATGCGACCTTGATAGTGTTAGTTAAGATCTAGTAAGCAAGTTTATTGCGCTGATAATATTTGGTAGTTAATATAATTTTTGTCGTTTGATGCAATAATTTTTACTTATAAATAAAGTGATATATTAAAATATTTTTGACTGCTAGAATTTAATTATCTTCAGTTGAATGCATACATTCATTTCATTGTATACATTGTCTAATTCGACGTTTATAAAAAATTTTCAAGTTTGACAAATCAATCTAAAGCTCTCTAAAGTATTGTTGATATATGTAAGTACCGAATTTGAATGACTTGTATTTCTGTAGATCAAGTTTTTGCATTTTTTTTTATACTTTACTCTCATCATGTATACTTTAGTGTCAATACTTTTGTTACAGCAGATAATAACCCCACAACAGCCGAATTTTAAGTTAAGAGTCAAAAGGGAAGAATTATTTTAACAGCAAGAGGCTGAGTTGTAAAATATCACGATTGAACCGGTTATTTTTTTGTATGCTGCTCATTTATGCAAAAATGATTGTTAACTCTATTTTTGGTACAGAGTGGAAGATGATACAGCAGAAGATAATAATGTTTTCTTAAAATGTCAAGATGAAAAAATAAATATATACGATGAAGATGAGAGTTATAGCTTAAAAAATCAAATGACTAACAAATAAAAATTTTTGGATTTTAATAAACAATTTACCGTGTACACATTTTTCAATAACTTTGACGAATCGATTTGGAATTTTTAACCATAAATGTTTATTTGAGTATCATACGAGAGTTTTTGAGTTAAGGCAAATCTTAAGCGATGGATAGAATAAAAATCGAAATGAAACTCATTTAATACCAACTGCAGTACAGAACCATCAAAATACAGCTTTAAAAAACACAATTTGATGAATATGCGTTTTTGCCGTGTACAGCGACCGCAATTATAAATCTAATATTCTACGACCTATAAGTGTATGTTTCTGTGGTTTGTCGAAGCATGTCGAATCACGTCAAAGCAATATTTATGAAATTCCGTGCTCTTGTTTTGTCGATACATAAACATTTTAATGAATGTTCATTGATGATCTAATGCTTTCTGTGCAAAAAACGAGGACCAGCTAGTATTTGAATTTACATCCTGACAGATATTATAGTGATACCATTGAAGTCTCCAGTCGAGAGAGCATAAGAAAGAATTCGATGGTTTGACTTGCCTGAGGATGAAAGATAACTAAAGCAAAGAGTGCCCAGAGTTCAAAAAGTAAAGACATTACATTCGTTTTACTTTCACTTGTTTTTTTTTTTTTGCAGAAGACAAAAACATCCACCGTTCGCTGACGATGGCGAGGTCATCGGATTCAGTGCCACTCAAAATCTAGCCAGTCATTTTATCAACCAAGCGAAGCTAGAGATTCTCCATCTGTAATGCATACGATAAGCGATCGGCAGAAAAACGAGTTTTACATACATATGAGTCATTGCTCGTTGTAACTATAATATAACTATGAACACATACGCGATGGAAAGTAAATCTTTTGTCATTTTCAATTTAATTGACTTTGTAAATCAAAATTTTTATCCCTCCACTTTTGGGCATGTTGTGAAGTGCGCGCGAAAAAAAACAATGCGCATAAAAAGAGACGCGGATGTCGATGTTCCAGTGACGTCAAAAACTATCGACGACTTTCTCACTTCAGTTAATTACAAAATCAAACACGCAAACAGTTATGAATTTTTGTATTTTTCTTGGTGCATATAACGCGTGGTGGAATAGACCATTAAGTGAATTTCAAAGTATCGTTAAAACCCAGTAAAACACCAGAAGAAAAGTCCTCGGACTTTCCAGTCATTAAATAGTCTTGTGCTAAGTGCACCGGAAGCAGTACATCTTTCGCAGTATTATGAACTTATACCAGAAAATTTATGCTAATATCGCAAATGCACACGACGATCAAACGGATGCGATATGCTCGAGTTAACGGACTTATCAAGTTTTTTGCAAACAACATTTGAATATCACGTCTTCTAAAACAATTAGGCCACATCGCATCTGTCACGGACTAAGCGCTGACCCCTGCGACACTACTGCGATGGTAAGAAAGTTATTATTGCAGCGGCCACGTGCAAAAAGTACACCATGACACCGAATAACACCGTGCACAAAATTTTATGCTGCAAG